CCAGAGGTCTTGAAATGAGAACTTCTGCCGACAGCCATTTAATTAAAAACCGTTCTAGCCATTTAATTTTATTTACAACGACGGAGTTAGTTGGGACACACAAGAAAAAGGCAAATATTTACAAACAGCACTCGCCAGTTCTCTCTTTGAAATTAATTAAAAGGCCTCACTCCTCTCTCTGCAGTTTATTCGTCGTCTAGTAAACTTCATTAAGATTGCCCGCCGCATTTAATTTCCACATTAGGAGAGCCGAAGAATTCCGGTCCGCGGGCCGGTTGCAAATATGGACCGCACTTTTATATTCTCACAAGCTTTCGGGCCATATTAACCTTGGGGTCAAACGACGAGCGTTTATTCCTTGGCGTCACACGATACTTATTTCTGCGCCCACTAAATAAAAATGCTCGCAATAAAAGCCAAATGGAGAGAAGCGACCGACTTCTTCTTTTCCTTTCTTTCGCTCTGCTACATTAAGGCTGGAAAAAACGACTGCGGATGGACAGATCAGATATATATATAGGCCTTTTTTGCACGCAAATTTCTCCTCCCACGGTCGCTGCGGTCCTATATGCTGTGATGAGGATGGGCATTTTTTATCTCTCTTTCCGTTGAGCTTCTCTGTCGTAATCTACGGCTGCACGGCTGGCCTCTTTTTGTCAGACGAAACATCTAATGCTTGGAAAATTGGCCACTCTGACACTCGTAGCACTTGAGAAGTCAAAAAAAGTTTACCTTTTTCTACTTAAACTTGATATGAACACTTAAGGAGCTGAAAATTTCTGATCTTTCAGAATGCTTAAAAAAATTTCACTCTCCATAATATTTTGAGACATTTTTTTTTATTTTCAAATATAATTTACTGTGGTACTTTCAATGCGTTGGTACATCTGTAATTAAAGCATGAGAAAGCTGAGGTTTGACTAAAAAAGGCCATAATATTTGTATCAAGACTACTTTTTTTTCACTTTTTGATTTTGTATCAACTTTAAAGCTTTTGTCTGGTTTATACTCGCGGAATGGGCGGTTTGCTCGCTCCAAAAAATAGGCACACGAAGCGCAAAATGAAGTCGCGGCTGGAAAATATGGCCACTCGAGATAGCAAGGGAGGATTTGGCGCCGCAAAAAGAGAAGGATAAAGTGCCGTCGCAGAGTGGATTCAATACAAAAGAAGAAGCCGAGTAGCGTTTCAATGCCTCTTTTTGTGCACTTGTGAATAATGCCCGCGGCAATTCAAGTGCGGTTATCGCATAATTCAAGGCACAGAGGTCAGCTTTTCCGGACGTTTGCCAACTCGATTCGTACCTGCGCGACTCTTTACGACTCACTCCAATTTTCTGGCAACATAAAATAAAAGTCTCCCGAAATTCAAATTTACGAATTTGAGGATTCGACGAGATTCGATTTTTAATACAATTCCCAGGCTCAATCGAATGGCCGAGAGATGCAAGATTACACAGCCATAAAATGCTGCACACAGAGATAAAAACATATGAGCTTTAACATAAACCCTGCCATTTCGAGTAGGAAAATTACGTTTTGTGTGCGGCAAAGGGAGGACGATGCGATGAGAGAGTTTGTAAATAAAGCTAAAAACTATTACTTAATGGAAAGCTACATGAATTTCTATTTATTTATTTATTTATTTATTTATTCTCCATTCATAGTACATACAACGCAAAAAAAAGTACACTATACAAAAAAAAAGCGGAATCATGCATTGACATAAAAAAGTACAAGCATACAAATAAATGCCAAAATCAGGAGTCGGAAACAGTCTGAGGCAATTTATTTTCAATCGCAACAGAATAGATTGTCTGTTGCAAATAAATGTTGCTTACAAATAAACAAATAAAAAAACACAACAGAGGTAAAGGAATTTTTTTAACATAAATACAGAAATAGTGAAAAAAAAACTGTCGTTTATTAAAAAATTTAATTTTCAATTAAAAATTAAAAAACCAAAAATATTTTAATTTCAAAAATGATTCTCTTTGTGATCAACACAAAATACGACAATGTTTAAGAAAGTATCACAATACATGAATCTTTTATAGTTTTTTTTAACGTTATTCAAACGAATGCTATGCAAGTATTTTAATTAAGATTTTCTGCCCCAAGAGAAAGATAAAACCACAAATTGGCAGCTGTTTTGCTTTAGATTGCAATTTTGAAACGTGTGGTTTTCCTCTGTGGCGGCGCGATATAGTTTCAGACTGTCTAATCCAATGTCCAAAACAGAAACAAGCTGACGAGTCGATCGAATTCGAAAGTGTGCTCGATTTTCCACCCACCGCATGCGTGGGTTTGTGTACATTTATTCCGCGCTGATGCATGTCCTTTCGATTTAACGCCCAGCCTCACATTTCGAGCGTAATTAACCGATCGCGACCGCAAAACCGTGTAATTGGCACATGGGAGTCGATCGCGGTCAGCCTTCCGCGCGCGCCCACGATCAAAACAATGAAATATGGTAATATCCAAAATTTGGGGGAAAAAGTGTGACCTCTGCTAGTTTGCATTGCGATAAACTCTTTCCATGCTCATTTTTTCCTCAAATTTTAATTTTTTCACAACTTCGAGCAGAATAGAGAGAAATTAATAAAAATTTGAAGTCCAAGCAGGGCTGACTTTGAATTTTTTGTAAATTAACAAATTTTTAAAGCAAAGTCTACAATTTAAAGGTGTCCAGTTTAGAAATATTTAAAAAATTAATACAAATTTTATCTAAAATTTATTTTATATAATTTAATTGTTCACTTATTAATTTATCTACTTATTTATTGATTTGATATTATTGTTTTTCTTTTAATTATTTATTTATCGATCTATTTTGTTGTTCTCATATATTTTTTTATTCTTCAGACAAATCAGACATCTAGATGGCTTAAAAATTATTGATATTTGTTTTTTACACAGCTAGGGATGATTGATGCAGAACACAATTTTGAATTTTTCATTGAGTAGTTTTATGATAAAAAATAAAATCTTCAATGTGGATAATGTACAAATTCAGCCCCATTTGATCAAAATAACATTTAATTTTTAATTTTCTCAATTTCATAAGACCAAATCTTGGCCTGAACAAAAATTATGAAAGATATTGAATTGAATGGTTGTTGACAAAATGTTGAAAATTTTTTTAAATTAATTTATAATAGATTAATGAAATTTCTAATTTTGGAAAATATTTCAAGTAATGAGCGTGCGCAGGGCGAGCGCAGGACGAGCGCAGGGCGTTTGCAGATGAAATCATTAAAAAACTTTCAATCTTCTCAAATATTTGAAATAAAAAATAATGTCATAATATTGGAAAACAGTAATTCAAAATTGACTGCGCCGTAAATTGCTTATGTGACTTTGAAGTTTATTAAGAAGTTTTTAGATATTTTAGATATTTAATAGAATTTTTAATAAAATGAAAATTTAACCTCTGAACATATGAATGACAATTTCACATAAAACGGGTCATTGAAATAAATGAATAAATTTACCATTTACCCAGGAATTAATTCAATTTCAATTCTGGCACTCTAATTTTCGCATGTGGATGGCAAAATCGAAACAACGTTCACTCCATCCAAAATGCATTTGCGCCTCACTTAGATTTTTCCAGCGGCAATAAACAAGCCAATGGTAAAAGAAAGAACTTGTTGGAAATAAACAACCAGCCGAGAGAAAAGTAATGCTGGTTTTTATTCATTTTTCAAGTGCTGGCTCGGAGGGTGGCTCTGATTATTTGCCTTTCACCACCATGGGCTGCAGCGCAATAATAAAGTAATGAATGCATTGTTGATAAGCACTCGCTGCACTTTACGACTCGCGCGCCTTTTACGAGCATTGCCATTAACCCTGGGGGCCAAATTGAGACAGTGAATAATGAAATGAGAGCTGCTGCAACAGTCGGCGGCCGACGGCCAAATTCGTCGGCAAACAATTCGTCTGCTTTCACTCTGGTTAATGAACCGTTTGATCTTTTGGCTGAGCAGAAAGAAAGGAGAAGAAGAAAATAATTAAAGAGGAAACTGGGAAATTCACAACACCCGCAGGCGTTTTTCCTTTTAAATTTTCCGCAAATATTATGCAAATAAAAGCATGTTTCATTTTTCTTGTGCCGAAAAAAAAACTGCTGAAATATTATCTACTTTTTGTTGGAATAAAAATGAATATATAAATAAAAGAGGAATAATTATTAATTTCACGTTCAACCTTAATTTTTATATAAAAAATTTGAAAATGTTTGAAGTTAAAATAATGGGAAATATTTGTGGGAAATGTCAAAATTGAAACAGCTCTGCAAACAATCAACTATCAATTTCCATTTTGCTTGGCACAAAACAATGGTAAACGCGGTTGTTTGATTTTAATTTAAATTGTCACAACTGCCTTGTTTGCCTTTTGTGCAAGCAACGCGCCTGCTTGTCAAGCACAGAGGGTTGCATAACGAGTATTCGATCATGAGAGTGTTGCGGCGGCGAACGCATCAGTTGCAGCCAGAGTGGAATTGCAACTTGCAGCGTTTTAATTCGATCCGCGAGCGAGGTTGAATGGCAACAAAGAGCGCACTTGTTTGCGTTTATTGCTCCGTGATTTGATCGTATTGATGCCGCATGAATTGAGCTTTAGCATGCAAAACGAGAGAAATTTCCATCGCAATCTCTCCGGAAAAACCCTTTGCTCGGGTCCATTAACGTCGCGAGCAAGAATGTGCCAGATAGAGAAATGAATTATTGTTCGAAATTTAATCGCAATTCTAATTTCCCATTTATCATTTAGCAAGTGACGTGTGAATTGTGGCGGGAGAGAAAATGCTCTAATTATAGTTCGGAGTTTATCTGATGAAAAGCAAAAACGATGTTGGTTTGCACTGTTCTCAACAGACGATAATATTTAGAATGATTTACATCCTGTTTGTTGTTCAACCGCCAAGTTAATTGTGACTGACAGTCTGACAGGTGTTTTAATGCATTATTTTACATGCATAGTCAAGAAATAAAGTATAAAATTTATCAGATCAGATTTTTAATTCAACATTTTAATACATTCAATTGTATTTATAAATTAAATGAAAATATATGATTAAAAGGAAGCCCAAAATGAAATTTATAAGTATATTATAAAAATTAAAAAAAAATCCCTTAAACATAATATTTTTTTTAATTTCATAAAGCTTATTAAAAGTTCACTGTTTTACGAATAAAATGGTGTTTATTGAGAGTGAAATATTTTTATAAAAAAATAATTATATTTTGATTTTAGCTCTGCCAATATGGCAAAAGAATAGGAATATCTCAGTACAGAAAGTGACATAAAATTGACTTTCAATTCTTCTCTTAAACATTGCACCAAAGCGTAATAAATTTACAATTTATAACAAGCTGCCCCTTCTTTACTCACACATTACATTTTAATTGAATTCGAGACAAAAAAATTCTATGTAAAAATGTGTATTTTGAGTCCTGCGCTTTTTGTTGACGGACGCAGCTGAGCGTCTCAACATATTCCAGGTCGGCAAACTGTGTTAGAAGAAAACTTGGGCACTTCCATAAATGCAGTCTTGCGAGCATTGGTCCGTGCAATATTTCCTTTCGTCCTCAAAGGACACCTCCTTTCCTTGCTCGGCTGAAGTTGACGAGTCTCCAACTGCTCCCACGATCACATACGCCACGATCACGGCCATCTGCATTTATCGAGAGAGAGAGCGGAAAAATCTGCGAGTCAACCTAGCGAAATATCAAAGGCACACTTACCGCCAACAGAGTCGACATGAGAACAAAATAGATGGACGCTCTGAAGCCCAGCGAGTTGTAAAGCGTCCCCGAGACAAAGGGCCCAACAAAGCCGCCCAGGCAGTAGCTGGCCGAGAAAAGCGCAGTCATCAGGCCAAAAGTTTCAAGATCGTCGTCATAACCGTGCTGACTGAAACCAACAAAGTGAAAAGGTTTGCCAAGCATTGAACACCCAACAGGGCCTATTATGATGATAGAGGGACACTTAAACCCTGGAAAAAGTTAAGTAAAAATTTAAAGGCAGGAAATTAAATTTATTCGGAGATGAATAAAAGTTTTATTATTAGCGTAATATATGCTTCAATATTTAAAAGAAAAAATTATTCCCTTTAATCAAATTTGTTCACTGAAATTAAGTTGTGTTGGGTGATTTAATTGAAACAAAGCCCGCAGCTAGAGCCGTGAAATTAAACTTCTTGTGAAATCAAAAACTTTGATGGAAAAGCCCTTTGACGGGTAATATTTTTACTTTTTACGCAGAGAGTGAAGCAAAATTCAACTCACATGAGGGCGCTAATTCCGTCCACAAAGCAGCCGCCGAGCACGAAGGCCATCCCGAGCCCAGCAACCACCAAGCCGGCGGCACATAAGGGCCAAATGCTGAGGGAGCAACAAAATTAATTTCATTTGCGGACTTTCCGGAGTCTGGTCAGAAATTTCTCTCACTTTTTCACGCTGAGAAAGGGCACCGGGCCGATGAATAAGGAGCCGGTGAAGATGAACGCCAGCCCCACGGAGGTGAGCAACAGGCCAGGCACACCCGCGTCACACAAGAGACACGCGCCCGGCATCATCACCATGGCCGTGCCGAACATGAGCACAAAAGTGATGCTTATTTCTAACGGGCTCAGTTCAAACTAAAAATAGAGAGAAGAAAAGAACAATTCAATTTAATATCTTTGACAATAAGTTACGATCGTTTTTTGGGGACTTTTTTAAACTTCCGAAAACATTTTTTAATTAATTTTTGAAAGGAATTTAAAAATTTTAATTCATGAATTGAATGAAAAATAAACCTAGAAACCTAAAAAAAAATCATAGAACCGTAGAGTTTAATGAATCTCATATATCAATAAAACAATTTGGTCTCCAATTTGAGCCGCTGTGCCAAACGACAAATGACTTTACAGCAGAATTGCAAATATTAACAAACAAACGAACAAAAGTTTTTGTTTCTAAACTTGAAAGCCGCACACTTAAATTTATGGTGAGGAAATCTTTTGGATTTAAGGTTTAAAAAGTCTTTTCCTCCACATTTTTCACAAACTTGATACGCCATTGACAATTTATTCGTCCCACACACAACACACACCGCAGAGTCACGTGAAGTGCAGGTCTGCGCTGTTTCCAATCTATTTTAGGCAAAATTGTGCCCCCAGCTTGCTTTTAATTTTGATCAAACGTGACGTTTGGCGCGGGTAGCTATGCAAGAGAACCTCTCGCTCACCTTTAGCAAGTGCGGTTGGAGCACCGGAGCGTAAAAGCTGTAGACCGATGTGGTCACTGCGATACACACCATGTTCACCTGGATGGCCGTTATTTTCAGGGAGCTTAGCACGCTGCTGACTGCAAATTTAGCCTTGCTCGTTTATGTATGTCATCAACTTGCAAATTCGCCTCGCCGCCATGCATTCATCGGCCGAACGAAATAAAGTTCCCACGCAGCCAAAGCCCAGAAGTGCGGTTAAAACAGAACACCCTTTAAATAATGAACGCCGGATAAAATTGAGGCGAGTGAAGAAAATTTTCAAAATAAACCCAATATTACATCAAAGGGAAAAAACACTTGAAAATCATATTTAATCAAGTATGAATTTGTTTTAAATTTTAAGCTACTTTAGGAATAAAATAAAATGCAATAGAAAATTTAAAAAACTCATAAAACACAATTCTGATTGATTAAATTATCACATACAAACTTTCAAATCTTTTATCAATCAATTTCAGAATTTTAAATTATTAAAAAAAAAATTATTCAGGACAATTTGAATTAAATTCATTTCATTGGCACACAGTTCTTTTAATGGAACATAATTTGTAAATTTTAATCCTTTAATTTGGTCAATGATTGAGCAGATTCTTTTGTTTCAATCAAAGGCTGGTGCAAAATAATTTCGCAATCCACACGCGCGGCTGCATAATTTTCTCACGTCTCCGACATAATTCGCAATTTGCATGGCGACGGGCGTGTTTACAAGTTATTATTACTCACTGTTCATCTTGTCCGTTTCCCGGCAAAACGCCGCGGTCGATGGCAAGTTTGACGGGAAAACGCAGGGCGCGACGTAGCTGATGACCAGCATCAGGCCACCCACGGACACGAACGGCACCATGAAGTTCTCGTTCTGTTATAGGTCAAGAGATAGGAATTGGTCGAATATAAGGAAGATTAGGGGTCACCTGCAGGAGAAGGGCACCCGCGATGGGCCCAATGAGGCAGCCTAATCCGTAGAAAAACTCCAAAATCGCCTGTAAAATTATCAAGTTTAATTTAGTTAAAATAAATATAAAAAATATTAAATTATATTTTATAAAAAATGTTAATTTGAAATTTGAAATTAGTTTCATTAAATAAAATTATAATTAATACCTAATTAAAATATTTTACTCTAAATTTATTGCCTATTGCTATTGATTTATATTTGCAGCAGAAGAAAATAAATTTAAATTTGTTTAATTTGGGTTTGTAAATGAATAAGACAGTGAACGTTCTCAAACTAAGTGTGATTGGAAAATTAATCAACAGCTTCTTTAACATTTTATATTAATTATAATAAATTATATAATTTTGCTCTTCTCCAATAAACGGTTGATTGATTACCTTCTAAAAATTGACATTATATAGGATATGAAGTTTTATTACTGAAATTGAACGAGTCCATGCAAAGGCACTCAGACCATGAAGCATTCTGAGGGTCTTTGTTTGGCTGCTCAATTAAAACAAACGGGCTGATGGAAAAGCCTGGTCTCTAATTATTCACTGCCGGAATTCAAAGGAAAAGTTAATTCGATTACGTAAGTGAAGGCGACCGAGTTGGGAAAAGTGACCAGCACAATTGCAAACACGCTCATGTAGACGATGGCGGTGCCGACGGCGTCCACCACTCTGGTCAGTACACTAACGTACAGAAAAGTGTCTGGCGATTCCGACAGGTCGAGCAGCCTGCAAAAAAAACCAATCAATTTTACACAATGACGTGCAAAGCTCTGAAATTTTAAGTCATTTTCAAAGCGTAAAAGTAAATGAAGGCGAATTTTGAAATTTTGTTTCTGTTACAAGCGAGAATTTATGGGAACGTGCGAAGTGTAATTTTCGATTCATTAATATTCAACACGCACCAACTCTATGCATATTAATGGCTTTCCAGGTTAAATGTGATGCAAAATCTAAAAACGTGAATGCACATAAGACATATTTTACTGGACAGCAAAAAATTTGAATTATAGAGTAACAAATACAAAACAAATTCTATAAAATATTTTAATTTGACCTCCTCAATCATTAAAAAAATTGTTTGCATAAAAATCATTTTAATTGTTTTGGTTACAAGCTGAAACCGTGTGTCATGTGAAACTTGAATAAAACAAAAAAATATGCTCATGAAACAGGTTAATTTTGTACATGAATTTATTTGGTTTCCCAATTTTGTTGTAGAATATTATGGCTTTCCAAGAATTAGTATATCATTTTTTTTTTCATGGAATAACGCTGGTAGAACTTTTTTATTAAAAAATAAATTATTTAAGAGTTGTACTTTTTCCTTGCATAGTTATTTATAACAAGAAAAAAGCAGCTATGATAAAAAATTTGTATAATTAAAAAAAAATGGCACACCAATGAAAATAGAATCAATAGAATTGCGGTAAAAAATTGTTGCGTCACATTTTAAAGGAACTTTTGCAACGCAAGTAAAAAAAAACTTGAAGTAAAAGTAAAAATGTGTTTTCAGTGGGATTGAAACAACCAAAATGTCCCCTTTCTCTCTTCAGACACAATTAATTCAGTGGCCGGAAGAACGGGTTAATTATAATGTTGTTGGCTGCAAAAAGGACAAAAAAGTTGTACAAAACAAAAGCTTATGTCAATGTGTATTTTGCAAGTGCCTGAATAAATAATGATTGTGTCATACCCGATGGAGATGTAGCTCATGCCGGTCAACAGCATTCCCAGATGGATGGACATGGTGTAGCCCGTCTTGTTGATCTGCAACAGTAGCAGCTTTTTTTTTACTTTTTACTAATAATCCAATTACGCGGGGGCCGTCGGGAATTTTCGGCCACGATTTGCGCGAGTGCGATAAAAATTTTAAACGAGCGCCGCAGTCCCGCGGGCCACTTTATTAATCAAGCGTTTTGGTGCTTTTGCCGTTGTGCGGTCGCAACGTGATTCGAATGAAATCCATGACACCGGTCTTTTTTGAAACTAATGCAAAATACTTGTTTAACTGCCCAAGCGAAAATCAAGTGTTAATTGATTTATGAGATCAGGAATGGAAAAAAAAGAGGTTTTTTAGATTTACGATAACAGTAATGGTATTTTAAAAGAAACAAATGGATTAATTTGAATAATTGCCAGTTGAATTAAAAAGATTAATGACCATGTTCATAAGTTTGCGGTCCATCTTGGAGTGGAACTTTTTTTGCCAGTTCTTTGCCCTTTCTTCAGAATTGATAAAATTCATATCCTTTGATATTTATAAATAATTTATAATATTAATCATCATAAAATTTAAATGATTCATTTAAACGAAATATAATAAATGATTTAAAAAAATCATAGAGATAAATGATATTAAATTAAAAAAGTGACCAAATGTGTACCTTAATATTTTTGTGTATCATTTCTCCCATTATTGCGCTATCCAAAATTAATTATTCCTCTAATTTTGAAATGTGAGAGCAAAATAATTCTTACCAGCTAAGAAGAATTAAAAATATATAATTTTAAATATTTTAATCACTAAGTTTCAAAGTAGGATTCTGTGAAATAACCTTTATTGAAGAATTATTCATTTAAATCAAATTGTCTGGTTTAAAAAATACATAAATTTTTCTTTTTCTTAAATTTCCATTCGGATTTAATTCTTAGAAACATTTTTTTAAAAAGAAAAAAACTTACAATCTTTGATAAAAAGGGGCAGATGATGAAGATGGTGAGTTCGTAAATCGAGAAAACGGCGCCACTGCCCGCCGGCGAAACTCCTTTCGAGGCAGCCTGCGAAGAGCAAAAACAAAAATGTGTACATAGACAAAAAGCGGAAAGAAAGTGTCGCCCCAATAAAAAAAAAACTCAGTCACCACCTTTCACCGAGGGCGGAACACGTGACAAATGGCGCCGGAGACAAATTGCCCGCGCCGAGAGGAAAAAAGGCACAGAAATGATTTATTTGGTACCTCAGGTGGGTAGAGCGGCGCCTGCATCGATTTGCTCATCGCCCTGACCAGGTGCAAGGACGCCAGCATTGCCAGGACGCGCCATTGATGGCAAGTGAATTTCTCGGCCGCCATCAGCACAGACATATCCGTTTCCGAGCTTGGCCGTCTGCAAAAACTTTTCTTTTCAATTTGTGAGAAATAAATCACTTTGAACGACGCGCGGCGATGAAAGGAGAATGAAAAGTCTCTAATCACTTTCTTGCAAAATGAAAAGTGAATTGAAAGGTTTTTGGGTATCTTATTTCATTTCTATTCAAGCGTAAAAGAAGTGGGAGTAAATTTTCCATTTCTTTAGAGGATGTCAAAGAAAAAATCAGTCATTTTGAACAATTTTCAAGAAGAGGTCAGGAAAAAGTATATTATAATTATCATCAAAAATTTCCATTTTATTGAAGGTTTTTAAATTTCAAATTAAGTTTTTTGGTGTGCAAAAGGCAATCTCTGCCTATCACAAGATAAATCATTGAAATATTCAAATATTATAAATAAAAACTACAAAAAAAATTGAAAGAGAGAAATACATTTTATTGATTTTATTTAGATATCAGATTTTTTATTCTATCCTCTTCTTTTTCAAATGGACATAACAAGGTGTAAAATTAAAATTCCCCAATGGCTCATAAATTAAATTTCAGCGGCTGTTATATTTAGTAAAAGACTGTTATTATGAAATGTTATGGCAGTAACTAAAATTTATTTTTTTGCGTTGCCTGCGCGATGAAATGCCAATGTGACAAATTCATTTGCGCGAGCCGATTAAATCTTGCAACCGGTTCAACGGGCATGAAAAATGCCTTTAATGAGCCATGCCATTTCATAACGAAACGCTTCTCATATTTCACCTCCCTTCATAAGCGCGTCAAATTTTCCCATTAAAAATTATTCGGTCATGTTTTATTTTCATCTTTTAACAATTACCAAAATTTTCCAAATTTTAATTTTAATGTATTTTAATTTCTTGGCTTAATAAATTAAAATTAGTTATAATTTGGTGCCTTTTCCCCAGTTTAGTTATCATTTTAGTGAATGTTTGTAATTTTCCATACTTAAAAATATAATCAATCTGTTCTTTGTTTCAATATTAATTATTCAAATACCAAAAAATGAAAACCTACAAATAAATTAAAATTTCTACAGGCTTTGGTTACATAACAAGTATAGTTGATAGTTTTTCTGACTGCGAGTTTTTTATTTGGTCAGGCACTGAAAAAAATAATTACTTAATTTAAAAAATTTTTACTTGAATTTAAACAACCTTCAATCTTTTGATGACTGCCATAACTTTAAAATAAATTGAAATAGTTAAAGTTTCCATGCCAATTTGTAAAAAATCTTGTTAGATTAAGTGAACATATGATTTTTCTTACCTTTTATCAAACAATCAGCAGGCGCGATGTTGTAGGGACTGGAAAAAATAATGCAAGTCCACCTCAAGGGTTCAGATCAAGTGTTGGGTATGCAGGCTCCGTCGTTGCCTTTTTCGTGGCTAACATTTTTTTTGTACTCCGTCGCAAAATCCAGTGAGGTGGAGGGGCCGCGTCGCGCCGAATTTGAGAGCAGCAATTTTTTGCTCCGCAACCTGAAAACCTCCATCAACCTTTACGGCTTGAAGTTAATGGTTATTACCCATGTGATCAAAAACGTGTTTGCTTTTTTCCCCTGGCTTGTCAGGTCCAGAGTCCGGCGCTTCCAACATCTCGTCACATGACTTAAAATGTATTCTAACTTTCATTTACCGCGCGAGAGAAGTTTACCCGCCTAAAAAGCTGCAGCACTTGAGGATATTTGAGTTGAAATTCATCTACGCGAACGGCCCACCCGTGTCATGTGATTGAAAACGACCTGCTTTGGCACACGCATGTGATGTGTTAAAGGCATTCAGCGCTCTTTTAAATTAGTGGGACTAATCGTTGGACGTCGCAATAAATTTGTACAAAAAATATAAATGTCTGCGTAATAAAATATAAAATTAAAATTAAGCAGATCATTTACATCAACAAATTTGTGCTAAGTTTTAAGTTATTTATAAATTGCACTTGAAACCACAATAAAAATCATCTGTGAAAATTAAATTGCTTGATAATTTTTAATTTTTGATTTTTTCATCCTCCTAAGAAAAAAGGAACTTGCTGGTTTATAATAGATTGATCTAATTATTAGTACTAAAAATGTATTGCCAATCGTGTTGGTCAGAAAGCGACTCAATCATTTATAAATTGAAACATTTAATCTTGGGATGATGGCATCTCAAGGATATCGAGCGAATAAACGGTGCCAGTTTTATATCGGCAAAGCGGTTCCATAACTATTATTTGATGCTCTGCCACAGCAAATGCAGAAAATCTTCAATAGTAGCTTTGTAAAAAATTGAAACCGGGCGAACCTCGTTGTAAAGAAAAAATGAAAAAATATATAAAAGACAAAACTGACCTCAAAGGCGACGAGGTTGGCCCGGTTTAAATTTTTCATGAAATCCACCTCGAGTGTTACGATTAAATTTAGTAACAATATAATTTCTACAAAAATGGAATCTAAGTTTCAGTTTTAGTTATTTCAGCCACCCTATAGCTATAATAATACTTTGTGATCTTTAAATTGCATCACTGTATGGAGGGGAAAGGATCAATTTTTTTATTTTTGTGTTACTCGATCTTAAACGTGAGATAAATTGCAGCTGTGATATTCAATTTACCTAAAATTTCAACACATTCTTTAAGTTTATCGAGTTAAATATTTTAAATCATTGTTCAGCTTTTGGTTATAAGCATTGTTTATAAACTGAATATGATTAAGTAAAATTCAAACAATTACTTTTGTTTATTTTTAATAATGTAAGATGTAAATTTGTATATTTCTTTTCTTATCCTATCAACATAAGTTACTTTACAAAAAATATTTTAATTTCACAAAATTAAATTTTATTGCCGCGGCTTACAAACTAAACACACATGGTTGTGAAGAGCGCAAGAATCATTGGCTTCGACCCTGCTTTTGTGGTCTCTTAACTTTGAATTCAAAACCGGCTTCGTATATTTTATTGCTTCATTCAATAGTTCCGCATTGCACGAAATGAATAAATGAAAGTTCTTCATATTGAGGTATTGCCTGATAAAAATAACCTCTCACATCAAGGTAGAGAAAAATAAAATCTTGTTTTGTTAGTCATGGGCTATTTTTATGCTTTCTTCTAAAAATAAAACCTGATTAGAAGTTCTAAAATGAAATCGACGCCTTCTCAAGCAGAAACGGTCCGTTTGAAACTTCAACGCTTCCGTAAGACTCAACCTGCCTGTTTCCATCAATCAAATTGATAAGATTACTTTGAGACGAGTTGCAGCACAGGTAGAAGACAATAAACGACAGCTGAAATAATAAGAAAACAAATTTACAGAAACAATTTTTTATGAAATAATTACCGAAAATAACACAGGAAACATGAGGAGGATGGTTGAATTGTCGAAACCCACAAGATCGACGAATATTCCTGAGAAGCCAAATCCAAACATTGAACCAATCGTGTTGGAAATTGTGCAAACGCAAATCACAATTCCGAAAATGGTGTTTTCTTGCTCTCTCTCTGTTTGTCTGCGATTGAAAAATTAGCAAAAATATAGCAAAAATATTTATAAATCTAACAGATTTTGCATGAGAGAGACGTAAATAGAGACCAGCGTAGTCGCCAGTCCAAGTCCGAACGCCATCACGCCCATCATCCCAACGGGCCAGTTCCTGAAAAGAAATTACAGCAAAATTAATATTTATATTTTTGCACAATCGACAGGCGATTGTGTTGACTTCTTACAAAGGAAGATTGATGAAATCCGCCGGTCCGATGAAAAAAAGCCCTGCCAGCATGGAAAGGAGGCCCGTGGCTGTGAACAGGCTCGGCGGAGCGCCCTTGCTGCACAATAGGCCAACGGCCAGAGCGGCCGCCAGAGCAGAGCCGTACAGCAAGAAAAACGCCAACCCTACGTCGAGTGGGGTGAATTTGAGCTGAAAGAAGGTGTCGCGGCGTCAACGAGGCCTATTCAATTTAAAAAATCTCATTGTATCACCTCGGACTGCAAAAACGGTCCCAGGGTGGCGACTACGAAACTCAGGCACATTGCTGACGAAAGCACAATCGAGCTGCTGACTTGCACCGAAAAGGCCTTCAGGCTCTTTCTGTAAACGGCTAAAAGCACAAAAATCATTAACATAATTGGAAAAATTAAAAATTCAATATTTTTACAAATTTTGATGCTGTTCTAAAAATTATTCTATTTTTTTCCTTATAGATATAATTAAAACTTTTCTTGAAATTTCAACAGGAATTATTTTTATTCTTTGTACATATTTATGTAAGATTTAATTAGTGAAGAATAAACAATAATAATATTTTTAATAGAAATGAATCTTATTTAAATTTCAAGCTAATTAATAATAAAGAAACGGTATTAATTTCAAATGTATATTATTTATTATTATTGATTTAGTGGCAAATTTGTTATTCTAGAAGCCAATTATTTTAATTCAAAAAAATATACAGAGCCTCTAGTTTTACTGCTAAACAGCTTTTGCCATTAAAAAGGCTGCGGCCTTAAAGATCTCATTATTGACAACAGATCAAGTGTTTTAAGATTTTCTGTGACTGTCAAGTAAAAAGTGGCTGCCCTCAAAACAACTTATACAAGGTAGCAATCACGCGTAAAAACCGGCTTGAAAAAAAACTATGCTCCTCAAAACAACCTTGATTTGGCCACCACTTGCAAAAAATATCATAAGAAACAATCATGTGACGTTGAACAATTTAAGGAAGTATTTTTACTTTAAGCGTATTTTGCTATCAAATTAAAAAATCCTATTTTATTATTAAAAAATTAAAATAATCAAAATACGTTGATGATTTTCCTTACAGAAAATAATTAAATTCTTGAAACTCACCGAAAATAGGAGTCAGGATGTCTTCGGTGGATATCAAAAGCTGGATGTTGTGGTCCAGAGGCAAAGAGCAAGGAACGGCGTACGAAACACAAATCATGGCGAAACCAAGCAGAATGTAGCCCAGTTCAAATCCATTTGTCTGCGGGCAGAAAGCATTAGAGACGCAACATGTGTGCCGAATGTTGCAATTTTGAGTGTCTCAGCATCTCTCTCTACTCACGTCTTTGGCGACGGCTCCGAGCAACGATCCGCCGATCATGCCGACGCCGTACGGAACCAGCAGGCCGCTCTGCAATAATATTAAACGCCGCATTCGGATAAAATTGCCAGATTATGAGATACGCACATAAGTCGATTTCCGAGGGAGCGCCGAGAGAATGAGGGTGAAGGAGGCCACGTACGCCAGGGAGGAACCCACCCCTGCACCCAGCCGCAACAAAAAGGTCAGGCACAAGAACGTAAGGTCGTCAGCGTAGTAATCGGAAAAGCTAGAAAATATTTAACCTGATTACTTTTAATGATAAATATTTATTTTTATTTTAATATTTTTTTTCTTCCATTTTTTTCATTACACTTAATTTTAGATGTTATTTATTTATCATTTATATTTATTTATTTATTTAAAAAAAAATAGGTTAATTATGGTGTGGAAAGATAAAAAGGACTTAATCAAAAAATTTGCAGAGAAAAATTAACCAAAAACTTTTATCATAAACACTGAAAGAATGATTAAATTAAATTAATTTTTTATATTGATCCATTAATTGTTTTCAATTTACCAGCTTAATTGGGGTGATTTGAACTTCGTTTGATGAAATTTTCACCAATTTTTATCAGGCTTATTTTGAGAAAAAGAATCTTTAACAAGGTTACATCATTAAAATTAATCGAGCAATTTTTTAAGCAGAAACTCTCCTTTAAATTAATCATAATAAGTACTTTCCTTCTGTTGTTAATAAAACTATGGAGGAGAACGTTGAATTATATTTAAAGTTTTAAAATAATATTAAAATATGAAGTAAAAACGGCCTTAATGTCAAATACAGATCATTAATAAATGAAACTGCTCAATCTGTGATTTGTATTTAGAAAAAATTTCACAATTTCATTAACCGAAAAAGTTGAATTCAACAAAACTTCTCCATATTAAACTTTTATTCAACAAGCAGGAGGAATACTGTGTTTTTTTTTTTTTATCACCCCGAGGACGTTTTTTTTTTTGAAGTGCCAACTTCTTCTCTCAAATTAAAATATATATTCAAATCAAAATTCGCTCACCCGAGTAGCATCAAAGTGAGCCCAAAAACGAAAATGCCATAGTGCACCATCAACCGAGAGCCGAATTTCTGGACCTGAAAATAGACCGTGAAAAAAAATGTTCGCCTCGTTTAGCAGAAAAAAAACGCACGGTAAAAACACTCAGCGGCAGGACGGCGACGAGGCCGAGTTCGTTGATGCCGAAGACGAGTCCGCAGACGGTCGGCGTCCACTGGCGCAATTCGAGCTGCGGAAATTCGGTCAGTGAAGAAGGGCCAGAAAATTGCTGCAAATCGAATTTTACCTGGGCAGTGCAGGCGAACGTGTAAAAAGCGCGGCACGCGGCCAGGCAGAAAAATTCGACGGCCAGCGGGACGATCAGGCTCTGCTGCGACGACATTTCGCTTTTTTCACATCGCACCTGCCGGACAAATTTTATTTCATGCAGCCACTTTGTCGAAATTGCCTTGTTTTTTATTGCAGCTCGTTTTTTTTTTGCAGGGGATTTGCTCATTGAATAAATCATGACCGTGTTGCCAAAAACAAGCGGTGAAAATTTAATTAATCCGCAACCAGATTGTTGCTTTTTATTGTTTAAAGTGAAATTTAACAGCACATTTTTTGTTTTAATTTTACCGGTTTTGGATCAAATGTCAACAATAGGGACGACTTATATTTTGTTGTAAAAAGTTGCACTCGGTCTGAAAAAAAACAACATTATTTTGCAACTAAAAAGACACCTTTTGGCTATCTCGGGTTATTTTGTCAGCTTGCCAATGTTCAAGGTACATAAAACTTCATATTTTACCAGGGTGGATGACCTTTGAACTAGAAACTTAGTACAAATCCAGAAAAGATACTTTTGTTCCTTAACTTCAACTTCCCACCGAGAACTTTTAAAAATCTTCAACCGTATTAATTTGACAGCGTTTTTCGTAAACCCTAATCCATCTCCGTTGGTCATATTGCAATTGGACAACTATGAATTTTTTTCGTTATGTTCGTTATCTTAAAAACCAAAATTTGAACTAAAATTATATTTGTTTGTAAAAATTAATTAAGTGCTCAAAAATTAGCTTAATTTTCTTCGAAGCTAAAAATGTATTAAAAAACACACCTTTATTTCAATTTTCAGGTTATCAAAATTATTTTAAAGGCCTGGACTAACAGTTCTAAATAAAGATTTCCAGAGCCGTTGAAATCCTCTTAAACTCATATACGAGCAATTTTCCCTAGAAAATTAAAAAAATTTAAAGTAATTACGGATATTGTCCAAAAGTTGATTCCTTTTCACAAATTCAGTCCAGCTGGAGACACGCGGACGGACTTGCTCGTCGCTCGCGAGCTTCAAAACTGGTGTTTTGCTTCCCATTACTTTTTGGCTTGGCCAAAACCTGTTCTTCGCAGGAGAGAGGGCCGCGAATACGTGAGTATCATCAGTCCTCCCGGCGCATAACATTAAAACCTGCACCGACAAAAATTCTGACTCGCTGTCACTTTTTGCGGCTTCTTTGCAAAAAATGACCAAAAAAAAAGTGGACGTCTTCAACTTTCCAAGGCTTAATATATAAAAACTGACCACATATGGAGATGACTTGTAATTTATGAAAACACCTCAAAAGAAATAAAAGTGAACTTAAAAAATATCTTTTAAAATATAATTTAATATGAAGATTTTCAGCACCGTAAACCATAAGGTTTAACTTATAATTTAATTTAATAATTAATTAATAAAACAGGTTTAAATTAAACTTGAAAACCAAATTTTTTATTTATTTTTTAATTAAACATCAATTTTATTATAAAAATATTTCAATAATTTAAATTTTATTAACTTTTCTTAAATTATCTTTAAATTTTAAATTGAATATTTTTATTTAATAACAACATTTGTTTTGAATTTAATATTTATATATTTGTTTGACTCATGTAAAACATTAAATAATCATTGGTTATACTATAAAGTAAATTAATCAAGGGAACAAGACGTTTCGATTTATTTCCTTAATCTGGTTAATATATTTTAATCATTACATTGTAATATGTGATTGAAATTTAGTACTTAAATAACAATAAATATACTAAAAAGACTTGCATTCCATGAAAAATTTAATATTGCTTTATGTAAGAAAAAATCAGGATAAAAGCCTGTTTGTCCCTTTATCCGAAATTTATTTCAAGTGCGAAGTGCTGCAAGGATTGAAAAAGAGAATCTGAAAATAATTTCTCTTTACATCAATTCATTGCATCCCTTTTGATATTTATTTGATATCTCCTGTTTCATCACCACACATCAGAGCGTCGACTTTTTCATGCATGTATAAAATTAATTGTGTCCAGCACGAGAATGAAAATGCTCGTCGTCACGTTGCACACTCATTTGTGCGCCTGGATAAAATGAATTTTTTCGCTCTCTCTGGGAAATTCTTGCTCTTGTTAATGTATCATAGCAGCACGGCTAGGTGCAAAATTGAAATGCACGTTTGTTTTGCTCGCCGCCTCTCTTTGCGACCTTTTGCATCCGCAATCCGCCGGTGAGGAAATTAAAACAAAGTCGAGAGCGTCGTTACGAGAGCGCATCCATTCCTCTCTTTTTTTATTTTGCTGCACCGAGGAATTTCTTTTTTCAATTTGTACAATGCTGTGTAATCAAAGCAAACGGTGCAAAGATTAAAAAGCTTTCCATATTTCTGCTATTTCAACTTTACTCCTTTCACATCAAAGCAAAAATTCTTTTAACACTTGCTTTTATTCATGTTACGTTTTTTAACCGCTTTTGTAAAATTCTAAGTTAAAATTTATATTTAATTATATTTTGGGTTTTTTGTTGCATATCTTTATGGAAAAGAAAAAACTACTAACATACTTCAGATTTCTAAATACTTTTCTTGCATCTAAACTTGAATAATATATTTATTATTGTTATTTAATTATAATTATTTAAAATTCCTAGTAATTAACGCACAAGTTATTAAATTCAATTTTCAATTTCATATTATTTCTGCGAGGAAAAAGGATTTGAAGGTACAAATTTCTCAGTTTGTTGGGAAACCCCTAAGATTTTTAATTTTAATGACAATTTTAGTAATCACGCGAAGACTAGTGAGAGTTTGATTCAATTTAATTAAAATCCAACTGATTTTACTGATTTTTAAATAGCAACTTGAGAAAGCTCGAATACACTTTCTACGTTTTTAGTTTCTATTTCTATTTTCTTTTCCACCAGTTTTGATTATTAGAAGAATTGTTGATTTCCCAAAATTTTCTTGCTAATTTTTGCGAAATAAAGAAGAGAGTAACAGTTTAAAATAAATGTATTGTGCAAATATCATGAACAAATCTTATTTCTGCAACGAGGTTCCCACAAAATAAAGAGAGCTCCTCAATTCAGATTTTATTACACATATATAATAGCTTTTATATAGGAAATAGTAAATGAATATTATTAACTAGGAATATGGTGTCACACAAAAAGTGGTTTTGCTATCTCTTGACGACGCCACATGATTTCTATTTATAGACTTCCTGTAGAGTATTTGGCGAGACTTTAATAACGAGAAGCTCAAAATAACACTAAACCAGGCACGAAATTTTTTAAATTAAATGTTATTGACCTTGCTGCGCTGATCACTTTCATTCCTTTTTCTTGTTGGGTGCGTCTTTTAAATATAGCCAATGTCGCTCTTACAGCGAATGTGATCTCTTTATTTGCGGAGTAACCAAACTTGAAATCAAAAATTCCACTGGAAACTGCGATTTTGCTCTGTAAATCACCTTGAAACATAATTAATTATATTTTTACGCAGTATTTATGAGTGGATTTTGTACTGAACTTGATGATTGTGTATTTCAATGAGTCCTGAAAAAAATTCAAAATTTATCTTATTATTGTTTTAGTTTCATAAATTATTACTGTTACAACTTTAAAAGATGCTTTGTTGGAATACGACTAGTTTTGTTTAAAAAAATAAAAATAAATGCAATTGATTAAAATGCCCTTCAGTTGCGAATGAAATAAAACAATGTAACTCTAGAACTTTAATATAAGTGCAAAAAAATTAAATATTAATTTTAACTTGATAATTTCTAAATATCATTCCTTTTAAATTTAAAAATTAAAACCTTACATGCCTTTTATTTGGAAAAATTATAATAAGTTTAAATTTCAAATTTTATCTGCAATTGTTAAAAACGTTATATTAGATAATGTTACCAAGTGTGATTGATTGAAACATTTTTTAATTACTTTTTTTATTAATTTTAGCACCAAATAAATCTCAAGAACATTATTTGACGGTTATTATTTTATCATTCATTTGCCCAAAAGAGCCGGTCTGTACGTTTGAGGTGCGACGCGGATGAATAAATCAGCAGGCTCTTTTTGCAAGTACACTCACGTGGACATGTAGCACACGCTTGGCAGCGGCAAAAATAAATTATGAGTTTCCGCCGCACAAAATAACAAGCTGGAAAAAATGAGCTAATGAAAAAAAAAGGTATTTTTGCCATGCGTCGAGGAAAAAGTATCTGCGTTGGAAAATTTACTGCAAAATGCAGACGCCGTCGGTCGTAATGCACATTTCCAGCATGACTGGCGGCCAAATAAAAATGTCCGTGGCGCACAGCTGTGGGGAATTGTAAGTAAAAATGTACACATGCAAATAGCAATTAAATGCAGTGCGCTGGCAGGCGGAAAATGCAGAGAGCGCGGCTCAAATTGAGCGAACATGTGGCGCTGTCGTTAAAAAATATAACTCGCGTAATTCACTTCTCGAGAGTGCAGCTAATCCAAGTTTGCTCGCAAATACACGCAATGCAAAAAGTCATTGCAGCGAGAAAACTTTTTATACTACCGCTTGTAATTTTCCTCCGGAAATAAACTCGTATATTATTAATTATTATTAATCGCAATTATTTTCTGTGACCTGATTCAGGAGAGGCTTTTGCAAAAATAAAATAGAAACGGCCCGATTTATGTAAATTTAAGTAAGTGGGAGGATTGAATTTTTGAAAATGGACCATTTTTGTTATGCGAATTTTTTCTAAAATAATTTTTCCCTTTGCTTTGATAACACATATACAGGCCCGACATATATAGTTAAAAAATTTTATAGCCAAACGAGTTACTTGATAATTTATGCGTGTAAAAAGAGGCGTGCGCAGTTTTATTTCTTTTTTCTATGTAAATAAAAGCTTCTGGGTATAACCTTGATAGTTTGCCGTTCAAAATTGTTACGTAACACTCTTTTGGCGACAGAGCACCTCATTGTACATAATATATATGCATCCTCTGTTTGTTTGTGGAAATGGCCTGCCAAAACTCATGTAATACAATCAAATTATTTAAAGTAAATTATTTATTAAAAGCCACGGCTCTCCCTAATTCCTATTGTGCCCTATTTCCTTGCTCGCTCATTTATGGCGCTTTCAATAATTATCATTTAATTAAATAAATACGAGTAGATTTTTTGTTGTTATATGTATGTAAAGAATTTTTTAAATTATTGTTACACACATCCATAATTTCTCTATTTAAAAAAAAATCAACACTATTAAAAAAAAGAAATACAAAAATATGAGATTAAAATATGAATTTAAATTTATTAAAAAATGTAATTTACAAATAAGACGATTATTTTTGTGTTGAATGAGATAATAATAAGAGATAAAATAAATATTTTTTCTTTGTTTGCGCTTTTGTAAGACCGCGTCGACATGCAGCGCCACTGCATAAAAAATGTTTGGTTTGGATCAGCTGATCGCAGTACAAATTTTTCTCTCCGCCCGTCGACCTTCTCTTTTAGTTGAATTTTGAATTTGGCACGATGAGATGCCTCGACAGGCCTGTCCTGCGAATCATCAAAGTTAACAAATTCAAAGTTTCGTCTGAGGCGAACTTTGCGACCTCCGGCCAATCTCGCCAAGATATCAAGTGAGTCCATCATCCGGTGCTTATACATACCAAAAACGCCTCACTTAATTTTTATTACACACCAGACTGACCAGACCAAATCTCAAACCTGATCCTCGCTTAGGGATCCATTTCACAGACTCTAACTTGTCACGCACACGCAACCAAATGTTAAAACGTTAATCATATTAAATTTCTTTTTAGTTTTAAATATTAAAGAACATTTAAATACAATAATTTTTTTAATTTTTAAATTAATTTTTGTTAAATATTTAAAAACTAAACTTAAAATTATTAAAAACGATTAATTGTTTGGTAATATTTCCAGATGTGATCTCCTCGTTGTCGGAGGCGGCGCAGGTGGTTGTTCGATGGCCGCAAAATTCGCTTCCAAACTTGGCAAGAACAAAGTTGTGATCGTCGAGCCAAAAGATGTAAAAACAACATAATTTTGCCCTGAAATAAATAAATTAAAAATAAATGCTTCAGGTTCATTACTACCAGCCCATGTGGACGTTGGTCGGCGGCGGAATGAAAACTCTGGCCGACAGTGGCCGTGCCATGGCCTCGGTCCTTCCCTCGGACGCACACTGGGTCAAGGACCAAGTCGCGGAATTCAGTCCAAAGACCAACTCGGTCAGGACCAAAGGCGGAGACTCGATTCAGTACAATTTCATGCTGGTCGCCGTCGGACTCAAGTTGGACTTCCACAAAGTATCTCTATTTATTTTTCATATTGAGAGGAAATTATTATATTTTTCTTCTAAGATCAAGGGCTTGGAGGATGCTTTGGCCAAAGATCCAAGAGTGTGTTCCAACTACTCACCTTTGTATGTGGACAAGACCTTCAAGGCCTTGCAGAACTTCCAAGGCGGACCCGCCTTGTTCACTTTTCCCAACACTCCGATCAAATGTGCAGGAGCACCTCAGAAGGTTATGTATATTTTCGAAGAGTATCTTAGAAAGGTATTATTTTTCTCAAATTTGTATTCTGAATTTGTTCCTATTTATAATTTTTAGCATGGAAAGCGGGACGCAGCAGATATAAAGTATTATACTTCTTTGGGAGTAATTTTTGGTGTCAAGAAATACGCTGCGGTTTTGCTGGAGCTGTGCAAGAAAAGAGGCATCGAAGTTACTTTCCGACACAATCTAATCGAAGTCAATTCCTCGGCTAGTGAGGCAACTTTTGAAAACTTGGACAAGCCTGGAGGGACTCTCACTCAAAAAGTTCAAAATCATTTTAATTTTTAATAACAAAAATTAATTTTTCTTTTAAATTAGTACTCATTTCTGCATGCGACTCCTGCGATGAGCACTCCGGAAGTGCTTTCGAAGTGTGCTGACCTGGTTGACAAAGCTGGTTACTTGGAAGTGAGCAAGACCAACTTGCAGCATGTCAGGTTTCCCAACATTTTCGGAATCGGAGACTGCACAAACGCTCCCACCTCAAAAACTGCGGCTGCCGTTGGTAAAAAACTAGAAAAAAAATGAAAACCTAATGCAATTTGATAAAGTTTTAAGTATGAATTAAGAAACAAATTTAAATTAAAAGTAGCTTTCAAAATTACTTTTAAATTACCTTTTTTACCTAATTCATCTTAAACTGAAATTAAATGATAGCATTTTGTAGTAGAAGTTCACGATCGAGGGTTGATTCATGGTGGATTGAATTTAAATTCGGCTTTTCCTCGATGGGTTTTTGTGAGTTTTTATTGTTTCAGAGCAGGATATTGTTTTTCTTAAACAATAAAAACTCACAAAAACCCATCGAGGAAAAGCCGAATTTAAATTCAATCCACCATAAATGATAGCAATTGATCCCAATTTCGGGAAAGAAATTGTAAATAGCTAATGTAATTTTATTGTCTTTATTTTCACTTTGTTTTTAGCTGGCCAGTGTGGTGTGGTCAAGAAGCACTTGGCCGCAGTGATGGCAGGGAAGCCTCTGCCTTCGGTGGCCTACGACGGCTACACGTCCTGTCCGCTGGTGACTGGATACAGTTCGTGCATCTTGGCCGAATTCGATTACGATGGCCAGCCCCTGGAAACGCTCCCTTTCGACCAAGGCAAAGAGAGGTGGTCCACTTTCTTCATGAAGAAAACAATCATGCCGCAGTTGTATTGGCACGCCATGCTCAAGTAACAAATCGGAAATGGAAAATTATTTTCATTTTTAAAAATAATTAATTTTTTTCTTCCAGCGGATACTGGGAAGGACCAAAGCTTTTCCGCAAAGCATTCCACCTCGGAATGGGAAAATAATCTGAAAGACTAAGATTTGAACCAATAGCCATTCTCCAAGGAAAAATCTATATTTAATCTCAAATGGTAGAGGATATATATTTTTATTCTTCTTATATAATTTTAATTAAAAATCACGCTGTGAGCAGCTGTGAGTTTTGTGAACACGCAAGCCAAGTAATATTGTGATTGAATTGGAAACAAAAATTTATATTTTTAAAACTTCTATTATTGTCTAGTTTTAAATTTTTATTAAAATTATCACTTTTCAATTATATATTTTTTTCTTTTGTTAAAACAACCAAAATCAAGACCACCGAGTATAATAAAGAAAATAAATAAAAAATTATAAAGGATTTTTTAATAATTAAACATAATAATCAATACTTTTAGAATAATTAAAACCTCTTTTAGCTCTTTTCAAACAAAAATAATGCAGTATACATAGTTCTCACTTAGCAAGCAGGTATAATTATGCAACCCGCGCCTTTGCTTCCATCCACGTCAAATCATCGATCATTGCGCATGTGTCGGTGTCGTCGTGTCGGCTGATAATCAAAACATTGATCATGGAGGAAGTTTTGCTGGTGAGAAAAATCAACTTTTTTAGCGATTTCCGGCACCTTTTTGACCAATTCAAAGATATCCGGAAAAATTAGAAAAATTTCCGCCCTCCAGAGAAGTGAATTTTGTGGTCTAAAGGTTAAATATTCACTGAAAAATGCAGTCGAAATCGCCCAGTCTTATTGAGCTTTACAGGACATTAATTTTTCTTGTATATTTAGTTTAAATGTTATAAAAAGTCTTGTAATTTAAAAACAATTTTTATTTTTAATAATGAATGAAAATAGAACCAAATTTTCTTGTATTAAATTGATGAACAATTATGTTTCTCAGGAGCCAACATTGTACACCATCAAGGGGCTGGCCATCCTCGACAACGATGGAAACCGCATTCTGGCCAAGTACTACGACAAGAACGTCTTCCCCACGGTCAAGGAGCAAAAGGCCTTCGAGAAGAACCTTTTTAATAAAACGCACAGAGCCAACGCCGAGATCATCATGCTCGACGGCCTCACCTGCGTTTACAGGAGCAACGTTGACCTCTTCTTCTACGTCATGGGCAGCTCTTTTGAAAATGAGGTGCAATTTTGAATAAAAATTGGAGACAAATGCTTAGTTTACTTTTACAGCTGATCCTGATGAGCGTCCTGAACTGCCTGTACGACTCGATCAGTCAAATTTTGAGGAAAAACGTCGAGAAGAGAGTCATCCTCGAGAACTTGGACATTGTTATGCTAGCCATGGATGAAATTTGTGATGGAGGGTCAGTTTAATTTACTGAGATGCAAAATTACTTAAGCTCGCAATGAAATAAAAATTAAATTGATAAATTACATTCATTTAATGCAAGTTAAGTTAAATGTAATGGATTGTGACAAAATAGGGATTAAAAAGTATATTTAGGATAGTTGATTTATGATTTTACTGTTACGAGTAGAGTTTTATCTTCTCAAAATAAAAAATCCTAATTTTATAAAAATAATTTGTAAATAATTAATTTAATATTATTTTATACAAATTTTTAACATAATTATGAATAAATGCAGGTTGTTCATTTGTAAATAATTATTGACTTTGAAAATAATTAATTTTCAGGATTATTCTGGAGGCCGATTCAGGAAACGTGGTGCAGCGGGTAGCCCTGAGAACGGACGACATTCCTCTCGGAGAGCAGACAGTAGCACAGGTAATTTGACTCACTCTCCATTCGATCTGACTTCCTTGCAATCATATTTCAAATAAATTTATCCTCTTGCACAATGACCTGAGTGATTTGTTTGGTTGCAGGTCGTAGAATACCTTCTTGGTTATTGATGGGTTGGTGGTTGCAAGGAATTCGGTTGTGCCTCTCTTTCTATCTTGATTTTTTTTTCTAAAATAACTCTGAACACACAATTTTTCTCTGTAAATATACTCGCTTCACTCTCCTACCAGCAAACTAATAAAGAAAACTGTGCATGCCCTAAAATTACTCTTGTCAAACTAAAACACAAAAGATTTAATAATTATATTGTGATCGGTGTCGGAAAAGACTGAGCCTTTGGATTTTGTATTTCTAGGTATTACAGACAGCCAAAGAACAGCTGAAGTGGTCACTTCTCAAGTGAGCGACATTCCTAAAATTAAGAAAAGTATGTCATTTATAAATTATACAAATTGCACCGTTTTGTTACTTATTAAGTAAAAGTTTAATCGCAATGATTTTTTTTTAAATAAACCTGCGTTTTATTGTAAGCTGAAATCTGGTCTATTCTTTAAACAATTAAACCCCCAATTGAGAATTTTGCCTTCCTTAAAGGATTAATAATTTTGTTGAATAGCGAGGCCAATAATCCCTGCGGTTAAGATTAGGATTTTGTTATCTTCGAGCAAAGTGATAATTGCTCACGGACGCAAAAGCAGATAAGTCAAGTAGCAGAATAAATAGAGAAAAAACAGGTGTCGCTGTGGCAATGGGACTCGACTGTCTTACTCCGAAAGATGAGAAAAGGGCGACCGCACGGAGGACGAGCAGAGAGCTGGACAAGCAGTTGGCGGGCTGGTCCAAACCCTTCCAAAACGCCATCAAGATCTTGCTCTTGGGTAATTCATCGAAGAAATTTTTATAATCTGGAATTGCGGAATTAACCAAATTTTAAATTATTATTCGCGTCCCTGACGCTCGAGCGTTATCTTGAAAAATTGATGCAACGTACGTCGTCTGATTTTGACATGCAAATTTTTGTTTGCTAATCCTCATCTGCGCATTGAATTTAATAATTTTGAAAAAATTTTAAAGGTGCTGGAGAGGCTGGCAAAACAACCATCATCAAACAGATGAAGATATTGCACATTTCAGGATTTTCGGACAAGTATAAAAAAAATTGGTTTTTTTTATTTAAATTTATTAATATTTTCTTCAAAATAGAGAGCGATTGGAGCAGGTGAAGATTGTGCGCAAAAATATACATGAAGCTATCAGTTGCTTATGCAAGAATGTTTCATTTGCAAATGACCACACAGACGATACACGGTTGAAGGCTGCAGTTGAATACGTCCTGAAAGCAAATTTTCCTTTTGAAAAGGCTTGCAAAATTTGTCTAATATGGGAGACAAAAGTTTTTTAATTATGTAATTTCCACACAGGAATATTATGACAAGGTTGAGTTTCTCTGGAAAAATCCGATTGTGCAGGAACACTTTAAAAATTCAAATGTCTATCAAACCCTGGACTCAGCAAAATAGTAAATAATTATTTTTTAATTACAAAATTTTATATTTTAAAATTTATTGAAACAGCTTTCTAGACAAAATCAGCGCTATCAGACACTCGAATTACCTGCCCAATGATCAAGTAAGTAAAAAGCTATTTTTATTCTCATTTATTTTAATTTATTGTCAAATTTTGAGGACATTCTGCGCTGCCGAAAGAAAACGACAGGAATCCAAAAAGTGGAGTTCACCGCCAAAATACCAAAAAAGTACGGCGGCGGCTCTCAGACCTTCTGGATGTTCGACGTGGGAGGCCAAAGAGGGGAGCGGAGGAAATGGATTCAAGTAAATTAAAAAAAAAAAAAATGAAAATTGCACAAAATAAAGTATTGAGATGTAAAATTTGTACAGGCATTCGACGGAATTCACGCAGTGCTTTTCCTAGTCGCGACGTCCAGTTTTGACCAGACCCTTCGAGAGGACAACGCGACGAATCGGCTGCGGGAGGCGCTCACCCTTTTCAAAGACGTTTGGGACAGCAGGTGTGAAAATTATTTTCTTTTCTGTAATTATCATATTTTTTTCTTATTTCTTATTAATCAAAGGTATTTGAGAGATGCTGGAGTGATATTGTTTCTGAACAAGCAAGACGTCTTGGAGCAGAAAATCAAAAATGGTCAGCGGCTGGAAAAGCATCTTCCAAATTTTCTGCCTTTCGACGAGAAATTAGAAACTCTCGACGAGTACACTGACCGAGCAAGAGAGTACATCAGAGATCTATTTTTGGTACTGACCTAATTGCGTGTGAAAAAAATTAGTCGCACTGATTTGCTTATCTGTTCAAAAGGAGGCCACCAGAGAAAAAAGGCCGTCGACTTTGGATCGCAAGGTGACCATCGGCCCGAGCATAATTTATACTCCCCAGCTTAGGGATGAGCCCCGAGAGTGCTACTGGCACTACACCACCGCCGTCGACACCAGAAACATCCGAAATGTTTTCAATGACGTCCACTCGATGGTGATTTCTTGGAACTTGATGCAGTTGGGCCTGCAATGATTTTTCTTTATGATATAATTAAATTCGGATTTCTTGTGATTTGAATTTAGAAAGTTTTATTTTCGTCGATAATTCCGGTTATTTGCATAGGAAACTGTGCAAAAATAAAGACGAATTCAAAAATTCGTGTTATGTTTTCACAATCGCGGATGAACTCTAGATTCTCCCGCTCTTTCTGAATAAAATGGGAGCCCGTGATTGGCTGAGAAAAAATCCACGTCTCTGATTGGTCGGTTCATTCATTTCTATAAAATCAAAACACCGGCTTTTGTATGAGTAGTTTCGTTAGAAGTTTTGAGACTTTTGAGTGTTTGTTGTCTTAATTAGATCAAATTGTTCGTTAAATAAGCCATGCCGTCGTCTTTAGACACCGTCTGCATTAAAATAGGCTGCGTAAACTACAACCACTGCGGATTTCAGCCTGAAAATGAAGAAACAAGGGAGGTTTGGAGACAGTGGCTGCTGCAAGGAGGCCTCGGCGAAGAAGAGTTTATATTGGAGCAAGAACTCCGAGTCTGCTACAGACATTTCGACCACAAACAACTGACAGGTTTGTCCCCTCGAAAATCTATCTTTTATTCTTATTCGTATTGTTATTTGCAGTGATCAACAACGAAGTGAATTTGCTTCATCCTGATACAGCAGTTCCGAAACTCTATCCTTGTGACTGGGACAAGCGCAAGCCTGAGGACCAAATTTTGCATTATGAAGCGTGCACTGCATTGACAACCGACGTCTACAGGGCGAACTTGAAGAGAACTAAGAGAAAGCTTGCCAATGAACGGAATAATATTAGTCTGAGCTCCAAAACTGCTTCCGAGGAAACAATAACAGCAGCCAAAAAGCCTAAAAAAGTTCCTAAACCTGAGGAGGCCAAACCTGAAAAAATTATTAATTACGATATCCTTGTAATTATCATAAAATGGCTTTTTTATTTAAAATTTTAAGTTTATTAATTTTCCAGTTTTCGACGGCGGCAACTTTAAGTCAAAACATCCTCGGAGCTCACAGACTCATCCCTTTTGCACCAGTCTCACATGCACCAGATGGGTGTAATTAAACTCTAATTAATTTATATAGGATTCAAAATTTTATAGTTTTATCCTTTCAGCTGGTGATAATGAATCTTATCATGCAATGAGTGAAGTTCGGGAAGCTCTTTTAAGACATGACTGGGATTTGGCTCTGAAACTCCTGCCGATGCTGTTTATGAAAAGACACTGCTTGCAGTTTATCTGGAGGGTAAATTACTTGTAATTTATTATAAACATTTTTAATTTTTAAAACTCCTGACGTAGTCGTACTTGCAAATTTTCTGCCACCACCCGAATTCGACGCCCGAACTGCTTAGAGAACTTTTAGAGTGAGAGAAAAATTACAAATTATGGTCAAAATCTGATCAATCTTCCTCACAGGACATGCTTTGGTAAAATTTCCATTCCCACCACGGACTTGGAAAAAGTATTCTGCTTGCCCAAGCCGAGCGAAGAGAATCTATCCAAAAAGGATCCGGAGGAAATGTTCAAAATGTGTTCGATTGTGTACCAAAAAGCTTCTGTAATTCACAAACTGCAGCAAGACATCCCAAGTGAAACGATAAGAAAATTTACAAAAAACGTCAATGTTCAAAAGATTAACAGTGGCGATACCAAGAAAAAAGCTAAGAGTGGTAAAACTAAAAGTAATAAATAAACCGGAGACGGAATATAAGCCGATAAAAATTGTTTTTTATATTTGCTTAGAAATTTTATTTTTAAAAGAAAAATTAAAATTTGATATTACAGTACTTTTTTCTATTGTTCACCTGCATTTGATTGAGGGATCTATTTTTGAATTTGGCGCAATTTTATCCGTAGGCCACGCCCCCAAATTCTTCTCTGCCATTTTCAGCTGATCAATACGAGTCGAACTGAACGAATTTTCCAAATTTTCTCCTCTCTGAGCCGCTTTTCAAAATGATGTCCCCCGCGGCGAGGTTGGTTTCAAGAAGGTTCAACCACAGGAACGTGAGTATCGATCAAAACCACCCTAATTAAACCGTTTTCCCGTAAAAATCGTGGCTCGAAGGAGCGGCAATGTCAAAAAACAATGTTGCACACCGCACGGCCTGTGCCCTTGTGCCAAGGTCTTCCTCGCATTTCAACCCAAAACTACTATAATAGCAATTTCACTTTCCAACCTCACTAGCAAATAAAATTAACAAAAATGTTTCTGATTTTAACTGTATCTAGCTGGCCACTTGGTACGAGAATAGCAAAGATGTGGCGGCAAAAATTGTCCCCGACTTTGTGGACATGTCAGCGGTAAACTTACAGAAACCATCCAGATTTTTGCTATATATATTGTCATTTTACTTATTTTCTGCTAATTTGATTTACATTTTACTTCGTTATTCACATAATTTTTTTAAGTTATGTAATTATTGCAGTTTTTATTTCAATTTTTCTTGTTTTGTCAAACTTTTTTTTTTTAATTTAACATATTTTTTAACTCAACTTTTGCAAATTGATGCCGTACCAAAACTTCTTAATCTGATTGCAGCAAGCACTGGCTCCGTTCTTCACTTCGTCCAAGAGCTTTGCCTCCGAAGCCACTTTTGAAACCAGGGTATATTTTAAAATCAAATTATTATAAATAAATTTTAAAACAATAACTCAAATTTTCTGCAGCCTTTCAAACTCCACAAATTGGACGAAGGCCCAAAGACAACAGTGACCGTCACCAGAGATGATGCCCTCAAGTACTACAAACAAATGCTCACCATCAGGCGAATCGAAACCGCCTCCGGAAATTTGTACAAGGAGAAAATCATCAGAGGCTTTTGCCACCTTTACTCAGGCCAGGTATTTAAAGTTGAAAAAAATCGACAAAACAGAAAAAAATTTACTTTATAGTTGCATTATTAAATCTCCTTAAACTTATGTTTTTCTTTTATCAAATTGTTAAATTTAAAAAAAAAATGTATTTTTGGAAACATCATTTTTGTTTCTGTAAATAACCATTATTTTATTTAAAAAAAAAATCTTTAAATAAATAGAGTGTGTTTTAAGTTGGCTTATAATTCAATAATTTTTTGATTTCAGGAAGCATGTGCTGTGGGAATGAAGGCTGCCATGAAGCCTGCGGACGCAATCATCTCTGCCTACCGAATCCACGGCTGGACGTACCTGATGGGTGTCAGTCCCACCGGCGTTTTGGCCGAGTTGACCGGCCGCAAGTCTGGTTGTGCCAGAGGCAAGGGTGGCTCCATGCACATGTATGCGCCTCACTTTTACGGTGGAAACGGAATCGTCGGTGCTCAGGTGCCCCTCGGCGTCGGGGTCGCCTTTGCCAGCAAGTACAGGGGCGACGAGAATGTCTGCTTCGCTCTTTACGGCGACGGTGCAGCCAACCAGGGACAGATTTTTGAAGTAAATCAACACTTATAATATTTCTTGCAATATTATACAAATTAAAATAATTTTACATAAAAAAGACATTAAATTAGATCAATTATTTTATTTTATAAATAATTTATTAATTACTAAGAAAAACTTTTATTTAATTTCAAACTTCCGATTAGGTGTACAATATGGCCAAACTTTGGAACGTCCCTTGCATATTTGTCTGCGAAAACAACGGCTACGGAATGGGCACCAGCGCAGACAGAGCGGCGGCCAGCACAAATTACTACACAAGAGGAGACTATGTGCCAGGAATTTGGGTACAAAATTTATACTTTTGTATAAAAAAACAAGCCTTCTTGTATTTTGCTGTCAAAAGTTTAAAATTTTATTTTTCGAATGAATGTTTCCCTTTTTTCAATAACCAACTATTCAAGTTAGAGAAAGAAGGTTTTGATACCTCATGAGAAGCAAATTCTAATTTTATCATAATCGTCATAATATTTACATTTTCACCGTTTTTTAAGAAATTTTTCTTACCTTCGTTTCATATTATTTTGAGTATAGTTAAAAAAAATGAATTTAGAAAAAAAAGGAAATTTTTATTTAAAGTTAGAATCGTTGGTTAATTTAAGTTTTTTTCAATTTAGTAATAACTTTTGTGTACTAGGTTGATGGCATGGACGTTCTAGCTGTGAGGGAAGCTTCTCGGTTTGCCATCGAATACTGCAACTCTGGAAAGGGTCCTCTGGTCATGGAAACCGTCACTTACCGCTACTCAGGGCACTCGATGTCCGATCCTGGCACCAGTTACCGCACCAGAGATGAAATTCAAGAAGTTCGACAGACCAGAGATCCCATTGCTTCTTTCAAGGAGAAGATAATTTCCACAGACCTTGCGACAGCTGACGAATTGAAGGTAGAAAAACATAATTATTTTAATTATCAATAGTTTTTGAGAAGGAAAACAATTGGAAACATTGAATTCAATTATCAATGATTGACCTCAAGCTCTTCAAATGAACTTCCCTACTTGATTTGGATAAATTTACATTTCTAACCTTGGATGTTGGCCGCAATTAATCCTCGTAAAAAACAGCCATTTATGATAAGATGACCTAAAATTTAACAACATTGACACATTGCGCTACTTTTCAGCTCATTAGTAAAAGAATTAGGTTTTAAATTCTTTGAATGCATTAAATTTTCTCATTAGCTTGGATGTTAATTAAATTTTTCCAAGTACAAAGAAACTAAATCATAAATAAGCAGGGCGTTCAACTCTATTTACTGTTTTTTTATGACAACATCCCACACAGATCACTCGTCTTATCAAGATTTGAAATAAACAACCTCGTGTCTACTTTTTTTCACAGGCCATTGACGCCGAGGTCAAGAAAGAGATCGACGAGGCGTCTAGGAAAGCCAAGACCGACACCGAGATCCCGATGGAGGAGTTGCCTGCCGACATTTATTCTGCGCCCCTCGAAACCGACGTGCGCAACGTTGCGCCCTGGGAACCCCTGCAGCACAAGCGCATCGGCTCGGCAGTAAATCTGAAGTAATAAATTTCTCAAGAGAAAAATAAAGGACATTGTGTTGTCAAGCAGTTATTAAAAGGAACAACAAATTCATAGGGCTGTTTAGAAAGAAAGAAAAAAATTAAACAAAAAATTTAATCCACACGCTGCTAATTTTTCCTTATGTTAATGAAAATGTGGGTCAATTTCCTTGCCTCATCCAACGTTGGTTATGTAATTTCTCTCGTTTTTCCTCGATTGTTTCTCAAAACAACTCAAAGTTGTGTGAAATAAAAATGCTGTATATTCACGCCTGATAATTATATTGTTACGAAAAACTGAGCATTAAAAACCAAGTCGAGTATATAAATTTGCATTTTTTTTCTCTCTCTTTTTCGTGTCAAAACTGTCAATGGAATTAAAATGATGAAATAAAGTTATTAAATTTCAAGCAGCGCGCTGCGCACGTTTTGGTTCAGTCAGTCTTTCTCTATTCACCAATCTTCTTTTCTATTTTAATTCGCGGCAGCGCATGCCTGCTTTCGGGGCGATCGACAAAGCATGACCCACAATGTGTGCCGCACGCAGTATTGAACCTCTCGTCGGGCGCAGAGATTCACGTCGCAGTAGAGCCGGCTCGCGAAAACAAGAATTTTTCAGCTTCCAACGACGCATTGTCAGCGCTTTTGCAAATGCCGAGAATGCACTGCATTGCATTTGAATGAGGGAGCCGTGTCGGCGGCCTAGCTAGTGGGGACACAAACAACACCCGGGCGCACCACTTTGGTCTAGTCGTTCGCCAAATTCGCTCGGAGAGGCTTGATGCCGTACAAGAGCAATTCCAGAGAGAAGATGCTGCCCAACAAAGAGCCGTGGACGCCGGCGGACGGCGGCTTCCGAGCCTGGCTGGTCGTCCTCTCCAGCTTCCTCATCAACGGCCTCATCTTCGGCATCATCAATTCGTACAGCGTCATTTACTTCGACCTGCAGAAGAATTTGGAGGCGAATGGAATTCACGACTCGTCCTACAAAGCTTGTGAGGAATTTAATTAATATAATCTTTAATTAATATAAGAATCTAAATAATTCTTCAGCTAATTAAAAATACAAATATTAGGGTTTTTTTGTAAATATAGGCGGTGCGGAGATGAAGTATTTTTTTTAATTTAAAAGATGATACAATATGTCGGCTTGGATATTTTGCGGTTTTACTTCATCCTGTAGCATTTCCGTACATTACACGTGAGAAATGTAAAAATTACAACAATGTGTAAAAACTCTTCAACCAACTATGGAAACTTGTAGGCTACTAATCAACCTAAGGCTAATTTAGCACAAAAATAATGCTAGGTTTTTAAATTTAGGGTTTTTCAAGGGACATAATAATAATCCGATATACAAATTATCTGAATAAATATAAAATTGTATTCTATTTCAACTCAATTATATTAAATTACTAACTTTTACGATTTTAACGATATAAACATTTTACTTTTAATAGTAGCAAAGGAGGAAAATAATTATGTTAACTTTACTTTTTCTGCTAATTTTTTTAAGTTCGTGCTCTCTGTGCAAAATAAGCGAAAGGGAAAATAATAAGATTGCAAAAAACAAAAACAATGTGATTGGCATTTTGACAGTACGCAAAGATTAAAAAGTTTAGCAAGAAAATTTACGTAACGCGGTTTCTATTTATTCCATTAAATTTTGTGATTTGTTTTTGCAGCCCTGGTGGGCTCGCTGACGATTGGCGCGACCTTTGCCTTTTCTCCGCTGGCCGGAATATTGACCGACCGACTGGGCCACCGGCAAACCACCATGATCGGCGGCGCGCTGGCTGTCATGGGCATGGTCATGTCTTCGCTCCTCATTAAATATGTGAGAATTAATTAATTAATTGTGAGCCGAATTTTGATTTTGATTGTGCGATCGACTCTGTCAAGGTCAAGGCGCTTTACCTCACCTACGGCATTTTGTTCGGACTGGGCGCCTCGCTGGCCTACACGCCGTCCCTGGCCATCCTGGGCTTCCACTTCAAGCAAAGGTTGGGCCTCGTCAATGGAATCGTTACTGCTGGCAGTTCCGTCTTCACCATTCTGATCCCGCTCGCCTTTGGAAAACTCATTCCTCTCATCGGGCTCGAGTGGGTTTTACGCTCAATCGCTTGCCTTATGATTTTCATTGTCGTCGCCGCAAACTTATTTGAGGTAAAAATTATAATTTAATACGGTGCATGAATCAAAAGTAAAACCCAGTAAAAATTCACGACATTCTCAAATTTTCACCATCCATTGAGACACATTCTCTGAGATTTCTCAAGATTTTTGCCTTTGAAAGGTGGCGCATTTTTAACTTTTATGGTAATTTCACTATTTATTGTGCAACGTTAAGACCAACACCAATCGATAGAAAATTTAATTAGCTTTCAAAACGTTATTTAAGTTTGCTTTAATTGCAAAAAAAAAACACTTTGTTAAAACAAAGATAAATTTTTTGTCATTTTTTTTACTATCAAAAATGCAATATAGAATTTTTTTATATAAAGAAAGTTGAAAGTTGAAGCACCGTAAATTTGAATGAGAGGAAATGTCTATAAATTGTCACAATTCTCATCCTTAATATCAGGGCATATCACCTCAGGTGCAGTTGAGCCTTCTTAGATTTTCACCCAAACTGCCCCTAAGGTTAACATTGATCAGAAACATCATTTTTAAACATTTCCGCATTTATTATAACTTTTGCCGCTTTGGATTTAGAGGAAAATGTTAAATAAAAAAAGTGTGCTAAATTAAATATTCTTCAACTTTTATATTCAACATTTTCCTCTAAAACGTTTTCCAGAAGAACTAGAAAATCATAAAGTATTAAATGATAAAAAATTACCTTTTGATCTCAAACAATTGAAATTTTGCACCAAGAATTGTCTTGGTGACTTTTTTAAAGAAAATTAAATTTACTATTGATTTCCATTACTCTGATGTCTGTACAAATAATAGAAAAATTACAACTACAACAAAAATGCCACCTTTCAAAGGTAATTTTTGATCTGGAAAGGGTGGCTGATTTGCTGGGAAACCTAAGGAAATCTCGGAAAATTTTTTATAATTTTTTTAATATTTTAGAAATAAATTATATCTGAGAATCAATGGGTTGTATCGAGTAAAAAACCAAATTTTTCAGCTAATTTGAAGGATTTTTATTCATTATATTAATCCATGGGGCGCTTCACGGGTATGAGCATTTCTTGATTTAATGATTTTTTTAATATTTTAGAAATAAATTATATCTGAGAATCAATGGGTTGTATCGAGCAAAAAACCAAAATTTTCAGCTAATTTGAAGGATTTTTATACATTATATTAATCCATGGGGCGCTTCACGGGTATGAGCATTTCTTGATTTAATGATTTTTTTAATATTTTAGAAATAAATTATATCTGAGAATCAAGTGGTTGTATCGAGTAAAAAACCAAATTTTTCAGCTAATTTGAAGGATTTTTATTCATTATATTAATCCATGGGGCGCTTCACGGGTATGAGCATTTTTTGATTTTATGATTTTTTAATATTTTAGAAATAAATTATATCTGAGAATCAAGTGGTTGTATCGAGCAAAAAACCAAAATTTTCAGCTAATTTGAAGGATTTTTATTCATTATATTAATCCATGGGGCGCTTCACGGGTATGAGCATTTCTTGATTTAATGATTTTTTTAATATTTTAGAAATAAATTATATCTGAGAATCAATGGGTTGTATCGAGTAAAAAACCAAATTTTTCAGCTAATTTGAAGGATTTTTATTCATATATAAATCCATGGGACTCTTCACGGGTATGAGCATTTCTTGATTTAATGATTTTTTTAATATTTTAGAAATAAATTATATCTGAGAATCAATGGGTTGTATCGAGTAAAAAACCAAATTTTTCAGCTAATTTGAAGGATTTTTATTCATTATATTAATCCATGGGGCGCTTCACGGGTATGAGCATTTCTTGATTTAATGATTTTTTTTAATACTTTAGAAATAAATTATATCTGAGAATCAATGGGTTGTATCGAGTAAAAAACCAAATTTTTCAGCTAATTTGAAGGATTTTTATTCATTATATTAATCCATGGGGCGCTTCACGGGTATGAGCATTTTTTGATTTTATGATTTTTTAATATTTTAGAAATAAATTATATCTGAGAATCAATGGGTTGTATCGAGTAAAAAACCAAATTTTTCAGCTAATTTGAAGGATTTTTATTCATTATATTAATCCATGGGGCGCTTCACGGGTATGAGCATTTCTTGATTTAATGATTTTTTTAATACTTTAGAAATAAATTATATCTGAGAATCAATGGGTTGTATCGAGTAAAAAACCAAATTTTTCAGCTAATTTGAAGGATTTTTATTCATTATATTAATCCATGGGGCGCTTCACGGGTATGAGCATTTTTTGATTTTATGATTTTTTAATATTTTAGAAATAAATTATATCTGAGAATCAATGGGTTGTATCGAGTAAAAAACCAAATTTTTCAGCTAATTTGAAGGATTTTTATTCATTATATTAATCCATGGGGCGCTTCACGGGTATGAGCATTTCTTGATTTTATGATTTTTTAATATTTTAGAAATAAATTATATCTGAGAATCAATGGGTTGTATCGAGCAAAAAACCAAAATTTTCAGCTAATGTGAAGGATTTTTATACATTATATTAATCCATGGGGCGCTTCACGGGTATGAGCATTTCTTGATTTAATGATTTTTTTTAATACTTTAGAAATAAATTATATCTGAGAATCAATGGGTTGTATCGAGTAAAAAACCAAATTTTTCAGCTAATTTGAAGGATTTTTATTCATTATATTAATCCATGGGGCGCTTCACGGGTATGAGCATTTCTTGATTTAATGATTTTTTTAATATTTTAGAAATAAATTATATCTGAGAATCAATGGGTTGTATCGAGTAAAAAACCAAATTTTTCAGCTAATTTGAAGGATTTTTATTCATATATAAATCCATGGGACTCTTCACGGGTATGAGCATTTTTTGATTTTATGATTTTTTTAATATTTTAGAAATAAATTATATCTGAGAATCAATGGGTTGTATCGAGTAAAAAACCAAATTTTTCAGCTAATTTGAAGGATTTTTATTCATATATAAATCCATGGGACTCTTCACGGGTATGAGCATTTTTTGATTTTATGATTTTTTAATATTTTAGAAATAAATTATATCTGAGAATCAATGCGTTGTATCGAGTAAAAAACCAAATTTTTCAGCTAATTTGAAGGATTTTTATTCATTATATTAATCCATGGGGCGCTTCACGGGTATGAGCATTTTTTGATTTTATGATTTTTTAATATTTTAGAAATAAATTATATCTGAGAATCAAGTGGTTGTATCGAGCAAAAAACCAAAATTTTCAGCTAATTTGAAGGATTTTTATTCATTATATTAATCCATGGGGCGCTTCACGGGTATGAGCATTTCTTGATTTAATGATTTTTTTAATATTTTAGAAATAAATTATATCTGAGAATCAATGGGTTGTATCGAGTAAAAAACCAAATTTTTCAGCTAATTTGAAGGATTTTTATTCATATATAAATCCATGGGACTCTTCACGGGTATGAGCATTTTTTGATTTTATGATTTTTTAATATTTTAGAAATAAATTATATCTGAGAATCAATGCGTTGTATCGATTAAAAAACCAATTCTTTCAGCTAATTTGAAGGATTTTTATTCATTATATTAATCCATGGGACTCTTCACGGGTATGAGCATTTTTTGATTTTATGATTTTTTTAATATTTTAGAAATAAATTATATCTGAGAATCAATGCGTTGTATCGATTAAAAAACCAATTCTTTCAGCTAATTTGAAGGATTTTTATTCATTATATTAATCCATGGGGCGCTTCACGGGTATGAGCATTTCTTGATTTAATGATTTTTTTAATATTTTAGAAATAAATTATATCTGAGAATCAATGGGTTGTATCGAGTAAAAAACCAAATTTTTCAGCTAATTTGAAGGATTTTTATTCATATATAAATCCATGGGACTCTTCACGGGTATGAGCATTTCTTGATTTAATGATTTTTTTAATATTTTAGAAATAAATTATATCTGAGAATCAATGGGTTGTATCGAGTAAAAAACCAAATTTTTCAGCTAATTTGAAGGATTTTTATTCATTATATTAATCCATGGGGCGCTTCACGGGTATGAGCATTTCTTGATTTAATGATTTTTTTTAATACTTTAGAAATAAATTATATCTGAGAATCAATGGGTTGTATCGAGTAAAAAACCAAATTTTTCAGCTAATTTGAAGGATTTTTATTCATTATATTAATCCATGGGGCGCTTCACGGGTATGAGCATTTTTTGATTTTATGATTTTTTAATATTTTAGAAATAAATTATATCTGAGAATCAATGGGTTGTATCGAGTAAAAAACCAAATTTTTCAGCTAATTTGAAGGATTTTTATTCATTATATTAATCCATGGGGCGCTTCACGGGTATGAGCATTTCTTGATTTAATGATTTTTTTAATACTTTAGAAATAAATTATATCTGAGAATCAATGGGTTGTATCGAGTAAAAAACCAAATTTTTCAGCTAATTTGAAGGATTTTTATTCATTATATTAATCCATGGGGCGCTTCACGGGTATGAGCATTTTTTGATTTTATGATTTTTTAATATTTTAGAAATAAATTATATCTGAGAATCAATGGGTTGTATCGAGTAAAAAACCAAATTTTTCAGCTAATTTGAAGGATTTTTATTCATTATATTAATCCATGGGGCGCTTCACGGGTATGAGCATTTCTTGATTTTATGATTTTTTAATATTTTAGAAATAAATTATATCTGAGAATCAATGGGTTGTATCGAGCAAAAAACCAAAATTTTCAGCTAATGTGAAGGATTTTTATACATTATATTAATCCATGGGGCGCTTCACGGGTATGAGCATTTCTTGATTTAATGATTTTTTTTAATACTTTAGAAATAAATTATATCTGAGAATCAATGGGTTGTATCGAGTAAAAAACCAAATTTTTCAGCTAATTTGAAGGATTTTTATTCATTATATTAATCCATGGGGCGCTTCACGGGTATGAGCATTTCTTGATTTAATGATTTTTTTAATATTTTAGAAATAAATTATATCTGAGA